TTGGAATCTACTAGCCGAACTTTGTCTTGGAAGGAACTGAGACGCAGAACCATTCCTTGAACTTAGACGTCTGGTGTGACTGACTTGAGTTGCCCTACTAAAACTTGTGGACCGGTGGCTGTGAAGACTGCGGAGATCCTTTCGTTTGAAAAACGCAAAACATCTTTTGAACATCAGTTCGTATCCACTGCGCATGCGTCGCAGACGTATCCCGTATATCAGGGGATCCAAAATGGCGTTCAGTAAAAACAGGGTTGTGACAACGTACGCAGGTAACATATCGTCAAGAATTCGAAGGAGGCCAATCACCACGTATGGTATCCAGAAAACGAGTAGTACTCCAAACAACAGTACGGCAGTCATGGCAACCTTGGTCGTACTATCATGACTGTGTCTACGGTTCGGCGTGGTTGAAATTGCCATGGTTGTCCCGGAATCTTTTCCATTACTGAACACAACGCATTGTTGGCGTTTGCTATACGCAGCATTGGACTCGGACAACGAGAATCTCGTCTCCGCGGGACGACAACTGATAGACGTCTCGGACGCGGATTGGTAGCGAGAGTACCGGTGGCGCCTCTTAGCGTTTCGTGCAATGTGTATTACTTTGATATAACACAACGCAACCACAACAACGCTTACTCCAATGGTCGCCGCCGCAATTGTATGTTCATTGATTAAGAGGGATTCCTCTGATACATACATTGTACAAATGTCCAAAAATGTCTTCGTTTCACTACGAATTGCAGCCAATATGTAAATTGCAAATCCCATAAGGGATGAGAGTAGCCATATTGCCGAAATGGGTATCCAAATCCAAGGTGGATGTAACAGATATAGACTCCTCAAAGGCTGCAAGACCTTCAGAGTAGTGAACACTACTAGCCCTACTGTGGTAAACGCTTCGGCAAAAACGGTGGTTTGAAAGAAACTTTTAAAGAGTAGGGAAAAACACAATAAATCTATGTGTCGGGGATCGGTATTTTCAATTCTGTATAACAAAAGGTCGCTAATGATGTAGTACACCACGGCAAAAATCAGTAAAAGAATGTCCACGACACACAGGTTTCCCAGTAGCAGGTACAAAGCATCTCCCTGGCGGCGAACGTGTGCCAACGCCACCAACGATATGATGTTTTCGAAAACCCCAAACAGGCAAAAGCCTACTGGAATATAAAAGTAAAAGTCTGGTATATGTATAGGGGTATAAGTATAATTGCTTTGAATGGAATCATTGGAATCTCCGGATGCTCCACTATACACACTCAGGTTATGGTGGTCGTGGTCTCCGTCAAAGACATCCATGATCGAATGCACCGTGATTTTAGCTTTGGTTGACCGGCGAAGATGATAGGGGTTTTATCAATTTCTTCGATGATGAAGCAGTTTCAAACACTTTTTAGTTTAAGGTTCCTGGACTTTTTTCAGAATCGCGTTTTGTTGAACTCATCTTGCCATCCTGATACAATGTTGTTTTGTGGTTCTGAAAAGGGAAATTCGAAAAGTAAATATTACATATAAATATGATAAATCAAACCATACGCGGTGATAATAATTTCCACGGCGACTTTTGCTCAGTTGTATTTCTTTTTAAGTCATTTATTTTCACCACGAAAGTACACACAATGGACAATAGAAGTGTCAACCCCTGAATCAGAGTAATCAAAGTAGGTAGATCTTGAGTACCGTGTACTTATAATGCCTTGTGTACTTATAATGTGACTCATGAGTATTAAACCGCTGTACCATGGAACTGTATTGTTGGTCTTTTTGTGAAATTTGATGTTAATAAAATGATACCAGGAGCATATCATTCCACAGTCATTTATCTTCCTCAAAGTATTGGTTCAGTAGGGGTGACACTTCTTTTGTCCAGTGTGTGTAATAATCATTAAGTTGATAAAATAATGTTAAATGATTATTATACCGCGGTAAAATATTTAGTTTACCGCAGGCGTATTTGGGTTATGTAAATGCCAGACAATGTTGGTTTCCTTTAGCTTTTCCTCTTTACGTCATTTAAAAGACAGCTTGAAAAAAAGTCCCTTGGTGTTAGTTTTTGCATTTTGCATCGCAGTTAATGACATCCCATGTTACTTTGAAACTTCTAGCAGCTCTCCCCTGGTGAAAACGAAGATCAGTCAAACCAATTAAATCTATTTTTCATCCGAAAACAAGAACATGAACAGTTTCGACTACCAATATATCTGTTCTGATTAATGAAAATTGAACGCTGCTGTGGAGCTTTAAGCGGTGACATGTTGTGTGCATCATTAATGTTGTTGAACAAAATGGACGCTACAGCGTGCCTTGGTAGTGGAGTTGACACCTACTTTGGTTCAATGGTCAAACCCTTCAATGTTATTGCTTGTTATTGCTTGTTATTATTATCATTATTTTGAAAAACTCATTCTCTAGGGCTAGAAAAGCAAAATTAGCTTAGCTGCTTCTTCCAAGATATTGTGCAATTTTCAACATGGCCGCCAATTTGTGAGAAAAGAATTAAAAACTGCTAAAAGTCGACTGATATACTTTATTTGCTACATGTTGAACGATTTTTGCTCTGTGGAGAACTCAGTAGGATTAGTTACATCTCAACACTCATATTTTATTTAAAAATCAAAGAGAAAGCGAAAACATAAGGCAGAAAATTCCAAATCAGTTCCTTTCCTGTATAATGCGTCTCCGTCTTTGAAATTTCTGTGATGTTTCGCTTGCCGTGATCCTTACCTTAAAGAATCAACTTGTTTGCCATTCAAATAGGTGAATACGGGAGGGCAACTCGTCACTAAGGCAAGCCCCATAGTCTATTTTTCACAAATCATTATTCTCCGCGGTGGAAATAATCATCACCACAACAGAAAAAATGTCGCCCTGTTCCAAACTTCAGCCAAAACCAAAATCCATTATAAAAAAATCTTGTAGAATGCCTACGGGCCACCGAAGAAGAAGGTGATTTCACTTTTAAACTGAAAAATCAGCGAGATTTTAGATTCTGTGCCCGAAGGCAAATACAGGGTTTGGCTTTCTCGCGGAAAACAAAATACCGAAAAGTTCTTTTTACAGCTTCATTTTGTGGTGTCAATACTGGAAAAATGAGAACTACCCCATGGGCCGCCGGCAGCTCCTTAACAAGTGTTTATACCCATTGGGACTGGACTGTTTCAATACTGTAAGGACTACGAGACAAATTGCAAGAAACATATTGGACCGAGTCCTGTCCGAACTTTTTTGCGAGCAGACGTTACAACATCTATGTATCGATCTCCTGGACTTTTTAAACTTGGCTTCACGGTTCCAGTTAATATGCTTGCAATGCTTGAAAAAACACGCGTGGGAGCATGCACGCACATACACACACGCACACACACACACACACTTACCCAAATAAATACAGAAACACGCACACGTTATGAAACCTTTCAGCGACAAATAAGACGTCATTCCGCATTTACAAAAAAGGACGGCTCTGCAAGCGGAATTCCTCCAAACTCTTCTGGCAACAATACGATAATCTCAAAAATAAGTTAATGTATCTTTAACTCAGACTTCAAATGTCAGACGTAAATTTAACGGATTATAGGACAGTTTTAGCATTTTTTTATGCTTCTTTGAATTTATATTGAAAATCGGCCGTCTTATTTCCGATCTGCTTACTGTTCTCACCGCAGGGAAAATCCTGTTCTTGTCTAGACATTTTCCTGATCGATGTACGTAACTTAATCACATTGCTTTTGTCAAAATAATAGGAATACTATTAGTGGGTCTAATTGATCATTGGCAGAAACAATATGAGGTAGCATTCAAAGCACTTCAAAGTGAAAAACAGTTTGACCAATCCGTTGTACTTGTAAAACTGATATTGTGTCAAAAACATGGAAGAGTACATGATAGGCGTGGTGGTGATTTCCTTAAATCGAGTTTCATTACGACATGCCATAGAACTTCTATGGACATACGTATAACGATGGTGAATATGGGAATGAGCCCTTAAACTGACAATCAAGCGCAATTATCAGATTTAAGACACTATTATTAATTCTAGAGATATAATCAATCACGTACACTGTCAAAATGCGAAAAAAACACACACACACACACACAAGCCACGACTTGTGTGACCACGTACAGACATGCGATGTGCATGTTGGACCGTTCATCTGTCCCGTTTTCCTTCTTTTTCTCACTGATATATAGGCCAACAGTTATAAAGCCGGGAGATTCGGGCCTCATTCAAATGCATGTTTTATTGACATTTACATTGAAAGCAGGGTTCGGAAGCCACGACGTGGCTGTGGAGAGCGACAGTAAGTATTTTTAGGGTTTCTAACTTCCGGTTAGGTGCAGTATGTCCATCAGTCTTAGTTTAATAATATGAATCTTAATATGAGACTAAAAAGTCATAGCAATAACTTCTGATCGTTTGATCGTGTATTTATTGTCGTCATGATGTTTAAGGAAAGGGAAGTCTTATGATGAATGTCGAGAATACGTATACGTACAGGTGTATAATGACTAATTGGTTTTATGGAGTACTGATCCCTAGACCCCTTTGATGTTTGTACTACACATGACACTGCTGTAGTTAGTAAAATAGATAGAGTGCTTTGTATTAATCCCTAACGATCCAGTGAAAGCAGTTAATCAAAACGCGTAAATAATAAAGCCCTACTAAGTCGTGACTATCAGTCCTCACATTGGATAATCAAAGGTCTTAAAAGTACTTTGATCATAGCAAATGCCACATTGTGAGTGATTAAGATGTTATCGTTGACTTGATAATGATGCTTTGAACATCTATGTTTGAAATTTTCTTATTTCTCATTCGAGATCACACAGGCATGTTTAATGATGGCCAAAAATGAATGGTAAAACTGTCGGTTGTCTCGACCGATATTCCAAAAGTGAACAGCATTGTTTCTAATGTATCAGCTGATCCTAAGCATACACAAGATCAGTCTAGATTTTTTCCAATGTTATCATTACCTTTATTATTTATTGATTTATTATTATTAGGATTCCCCATAGGGGAATACTATTGTTTTTGGTATTATTATTATTATTATTATTATTATTATTCTTTCCGCGCGTTTTTTTTCGCAAAAAATCTGAAATAATTTACATAGGTAGCCTATGGTAAGAATATGCCATAGACCCAGTTTTAGTGACCTTGACCTACTTTTCAAGGTCACAGGAGCTTTTAAAGGCAAAATTTGTAAAATTTGAAATTGCCATTAGGCCTAAAGTATAAGCCATATGGCTATGGGCCTTATAGTCAGTGATACTGAGGTAAATCCACATGTAATGACCTACTTTTATGCAAGTAGGTCAAGGTCAAGGTCGCTAATGGCCAAACGGGCTCAAAAAAGGTTTGTTTCCGAGATCTCAGAAACCGGATATCCCAGAGCCCCGATCATAGTAGCAAATGGTGCCCTATATATTTATCTAAGGTTAGCCGTACTTTGGTAGCGACTGCTTTATTACTTTTTTTAATATAGATTTTTATATATTTATGACATTGCAGAAATCTTGAGTTTGGCAGTTTCTCCATGAAACACTGGTTTTTGGTCATAGCATGCTATAGTAAACTACCCCAAACATATACCCAAAAACCCCAAATCAAATGTCAAATTTGACCTTGACCCTCATTTTCAAGGTCATTCGGCTATTTAATGGAGAAATATTGAAGTGGGCTAAAAGTGATGTTTTGTTGACTCCCCCCCCCCAATTTGCACATGCTCTTTCAGAATATGGGGTCAAATTTAACCCATGACCTTCACATGACCTTGTAAGAGCATTTTTACACCTATTTTGCAGGGGAATCCTCCGCCACTGGCTTTAGCCAGTTGCAGTCTAGTTATTATTATTATTATTATTATTATTATTATTATTATTTGCTATCTTCTTTTTCCTTCCCAGGGAGATTGCTGTCAGTTCAACGATTTTTTTACTGTACGGATCCAATCTTTTGCTCTTACATGGTATCTCTGATTTACTGTTTGAAAAGAGAACAGAAGTGAAGTTTTCACTATCTTTTGCCATTGCTGTTATCAACATGTCCCAAGAGAAATCACCCCGTAGGAAGTAAACCCTCGATAGATACAATGTTTCTTATTGTGCTTGGCATATTTGCCGGCATTTCCGTTCTGGGAAGCAAGAATTCTGTTAGGTAATGGTCCGATGTACTATAGGAGACGCGCGGAAGAGACTGCTTGTAACGCCTGGTGTGAGAGAAGTCCATTCTACTAACAATTTTTATTTACCGTTTCTTACGGTTGTATTTAATGCAAAAATGTGTTGAGAATCATCGCTGTTTTAAATCCTCGAACCAATTGGCATCAAAGTGATATGAATATGAAGTTATAGCATTATAGTTTACGGAACCCAAGAGCTTTTTTTATTCTTTGAAGAATTCTTAAACAATTGAACCAATGCCAAACCCGACGACTACTACCTCAGCTTTTTAATATCACCACTAAAAAC